CTTAATAAATTTTTCGCTAAAATTAATTTTTTTTTTCAAATATAATTTCATAAAAATAATTTAAGAAATACCCAATACAGCCTCCGTCTTAGCAGATTCTACACGAGATGCAGGCGCAGAGGAGCCGCATCCCAAGAAGCGGATTAATACAAAGCAACAAAAAAGCTGCTGCAGCACGCCATCGAGGAAAGCAAAAAGAAAAAATGGAAGGAAACTACGCGAGGATATTAACAAAATCCCCTGGGAACTCGGGTATAAAAAAGTAATGAAAAAAAAACTCTTCGTTCGAGCAAAGCTGCCTGACTTAACCGTCAACATGAATAAGATCGTGAACACACTCTTCCCCACAAACGAAAAAGGATCCAGAACATACTTTAAGATTTTCGCAAAAACTCCAGTAAAAGCCGCGTAGCTTAGATAACATAAATACAAAAGAACAGTGTTTTTGGTGACTTTAGATATCCAACACGCCTTCAACAGCCACCCATCTGGAGTGGATATGATCGACGCTCTCGAAAGAAGCTATAAAAACCCCTATTGCCTCAGAGCAACAGAAAACTGCTCTACCAAACTAGAGAAGGATCACGACAGATAGCGATCACGTCAGGAACCGGACAAGGATCCAATTTCGGACCAGACTTGTGGAACATCAGCTACGACACTATATTAAAACGCGAATTGCTAGACGAATCGTAATTGTCTACGCGGACGACACGGATTACAGCATGATAGACAGAAGAGGCGCGAAGAAAGCTTAATCAGGTTCGTGATGCGGACGCAAACATGGCTCGACTCACATAACCTACCTCGTGTAACTTAACAATAGTGCGCTCGCTTCCGTTCTGAAAATTTCGATTTACACTGATGAAAGTTTCACACTGATGAGAAATACGAAAAGACTTTTTCGACTACCCAACATACCAACATGGATTTTAGACAAATTTTTACTAGTAAAAAAAAACTATTCTAGTCCCTGCAAAATTTTGCAAGTGTATAAAAATTGAAAACGACCTACCCTAATACAAAGTGGCGCATAATGGCGGAAGTGCACTACTCGCGTGCGAAATTTGTGGAAAATTAAAAAGCTTAAAACCTCAACAGATACTCCATTGTTGAAGTGCAAAAACAAGAAAAATCAATAAAAGTAAGAGGTAAATGTGTGTGTGTGTGTGTGTGCACGTGCCTTTGCCACATGCACAAACAACTTTTGCAGCTATTTTGGTATAGGTGTATATATGTTTATAGGGTGCTATGTGGGTTGGTAGGTAACGGTGTATACAAAACTGCATATATGCAAGCGCACGAAACGGATTAACGGTATGTGTACGCAGTTGACTAATGGAGTTTACGCGCAGCTGGCACAGCTCACCCATGCAAACACATGTATTATATATGGTGGTATGTGTTTACAAGGCAAACATGCAATTTTCCCCGACACACGCACACCTGTACCCATGTACACATATTTTTTCATATAGATATCAATATGGATAAATTTATATTATTAGCATTTATCTATATATAACTATATGTATGTATATATACACATGTGTGTGTGTGTATGCATGCTTGGCTTGCTGACGCTCGCAAATGCTGGTATACTAGTGTAACGGTATGCTGCTATACATTATATGCATTTTTTTATTTTTATTTTATAAGCGTGGTGTTTCAGTTTTCATAGGTCAACGCCTGTATGTACGAGCATAATTTCGCATGTGCTTAGGAAATTAAATTTATTCGCTAGTTACGCTAATGATTTGTTGTTGTTTTTTTATATTTATATTTTTTGCTGTTGCTTTTTTCTGTACACACAATTATATTTTCGTTTATTAAATTTATATATATGTATGTATATGCATGTGTGTATGTATGTATGTATGTGTTAGTGACTTGTTTATATTTTTTGCAGTATTTTATTGTTCTAGGAATTACGCTAAACTTTATATATACATATATATGTATGTATGTATAATATTTTCTCAATTATATTTACGAGTATTTATTAAAAAATCAGTACGTTGGCGGTATAAAAATGTTTCCTATTGCGCGAATACTTATAACAAAATATACACAAAAATAAAGGAATCAAGTCTTTTCAGATAACACAATTATCCTTACTTAGGTCCTTAGGTTAAATGTTATATTGGTTTAATTTGTTCATGTTTTTGGTTTTTTTTTTATATTTTGTTGTTGGTGCCAAAATAAAAAAAATTTATAATCCAGTTGATACATTACACATAAGTATATATGTCTTTAAATATATATAAATCTTTATATATATTGTATATACGAATAGTTGGGGCGCAAGTACATGCAAACACACACATACATATGTGTATATATACTTGTGTACAGGGTTGCAAATAATGTTAAAAAAAATCGCGAAAATATATCTTAAAATGAAAAAGTTTTCCATACAAAAACTTGAAACCAATCGTTCAGTTTGTATGGCAGCTATATGCTATAGTGATCCGATTTAAATTATTTCTTTGGAGATCGCATTACTGACTTAGGCAATAACCCACGCCAAATTTATTGAAGTTATCTCCTGAAATGAAAAAGTTTTCCATACAAGCACTCGGTTTTGATAGATCAGTTTGCATGGCTGCCATATGATATAGTGCTCCGACATCCTAACACCTTCTAGGTGAGGAAAAGATATTTGCAAAAATTTCAGATCGATATCTCAAAAACTGAGGTACTAGTGCTAGTGTATACATACAAGCAGACGGCTAGGGGTAAATCGACTCAGCTGGTCACGCGGATCATTTATGTAAGGATATTCCTTATAGGGGCCACGATGTTTCCTTTTGAGTGCTACAAACTACGTTGCAAAAATAATATAAATAAAACAGTAGACCCTTAAACCGTATTGAAAAAATAATAATTTGAATTGAAAAAATTATTTAATTAAAAAATTAAATATTGAATTTATAATTCTGTTTTTGAAATC